TAGCGCAGATAGCCCTCGTGTAGCTTTGCGCGAAATTCAGAAACAAACAAAATTTTCGTGTTCCTGGATATATTTTAAAATTACAATTATTTGAAAGGTAAAACGCCATTCGGTCTGCCCAAGAAACGTTATTTTTAGGGGACTTAGACACATGGATATTTTATAAAGCAATGAGAGTGTTTTATATATATATCAATACTCTTATCAATCTTTTATACTATTTTATGTATTGTGAAACATTTTAAAATTACTAGTATTGATTATTGCCATGTATATTATATTAACGCATTTTATCCTTTATTTATTTTTTCTATTGAATATAGGACCAGGCGCTACCTATTGCTCGGAGCACCCAGCTGCAGATTTAATGGTCCTGGGTTCGAGATCTGATACCGCTGAACACACCCCGTGTGGGTGCGTTATTAAAGTGACAGCCAATCCTATTATTCATCTCAAAGAGCCGTACAAAGCTCTTCTTGCAGTGGGCTCTGCAGACCAGCCATCTTCACTCTGGTCAATAGTTCAAAATTGGGGATGATTATACCTGAGTTATAGGGGTCTTTGACTTGGTCATTTGGCAAAAGATGACACTTATGCCACTATAGAAGAATTTTGCTATTTTAAAATCGGAGTATATTCACAAAATATCATGATTACAAATTTCGTTGGATTATTGTTTTAACTTTTTCATTTAAATTTTAATAAAATATACTTAAAGATTTTTGTCATGAAAACACACCCTCGCTTTATTTTACCTGATTCTTTATCAGACTTGGCCTCATTTTCATTTCACCTACTTCTTTTTCTTTTTTAGGGCACTATGTTAATGTATATATGTTACACTGATCGACATCATAGCTGATAATCACTTTCGGGTCACCTTCTAAACCTGAAAACCTAGTTTGAAAGCATTGTTTTACGAAGAATTGGAGCCTGACACTTCATTGGTAACAATGTGTCGTAAGCAGTTTACAAATCTGACAGATGAAAGCTTAAAATAAAGTGCTATCCTCCATTAACACACTTATCACTTTGATTATGTTTAAATATTGAATAAAGATTGTTTTTACTCTTTTTACATTGTGACTTGTCTATTACTTTACTCTAAACTCTGTCAAAGCCAAGAGAATTCCGTTCATCTCTACAAAACATTTTTTCTCAAACATTCTGTTACACGATTACTCAAAGGGGAAATTAGTGAACCTGAGAATACCACACTTTTTTGAAGATGATTTTCTGTAACACCAGAAAGGTTAAGCTTCATTATAATCTTATTTTGTTAACTTATTTTTATATTTACTTGACATAAAATTCGTTTGAAAGTTAATATATATTTATTGTGATTAATTCATATATAAGAATTGAGATTGGAATTTTTCAAGTTGAAGAGTACCTTAAGCACACACGATGCAAATGGTCAGGTTACAGACACTTCCACGATTCTGGTAAAAACATCCCTAATTTTGAATTACTGACCAGAGGGAAGATAGCCAGCAGTTCCCGCAGCCACAAAGGCTCTCTCAGTTCGTTTATGTCCCCTGATGGGACAGCGGTAAGTTTACGGACTTACAACGCTAAAATCCGGGGCTCAATTCCCCATGGTAGACACAGCAGATAGACAAATATGGTTCTTCTTTAAAATAAACATACATTTCACTTTTAGAATGAGTCTATGATTGAAAGGAGCAGATCGTGTTCATAGGTATGATATCCTAAACCCTTCAGTCCTAAATCTGACACGCTAGTCATTAGGACATACTTCGGAAGGTACACATCGTTTCTTTCTTGTTTGTTTCAAAATAATTAACAAAGCTGAAATGTTATTTTGGAGAGGGTGGGGGAGTATTTCCATGTGATTTGTAGTTTTTTTAATTATTTTTTTCAAATCATAAAGCCTTTACAATTTTGTTTTTGTAAACAAACATGTATTTGACATCTCAAGTGACCTATATTAATCAGTAAATGTTAACCAACTGTACACATCATTAGTTAATATGTAACTTATTCATCAATGTTTAATTATATGTCTACAAATTTGCCTTTTGAGAACAAAATATCTTTGCTTCCTTGTTCAATTTTGTGCCCCCCAGTGGCACAATGCTAAAAACAGAGTTTCGATACCCGTGGTGAGCAGAGCAAAGATAGCCTTTTGTGTAGCTTTGTGCTTAATTACAAACAAACAAACAAAATCAATTTCGCGCCAAATTACGCAAGGGCTACCTGCTTTAGCCGTCCCTAATTTAGAGATGACAGACTTATTTGTTTGTTTGTTGAATTTTGCGCAAAGCTACTCGAGGGCTATCTGCACTAACCGTTCCTAATTTAGCAATGATAGACTAGAGGGAAGGCAACTAACTAGTCAACACCACCTACCACCAACTCTTGGGCTACTCCTTTACCAACGAAAAATGGGATTGACCATCACATCATAACGCCCCCACGGCTGAAATGGCAGGCATGTTCAGTGATGGGATTCGAACTCGCACCCCGCAGATTACGAATCGAGTGCCCTAACCACCAGGCCATGTCAGGTCCTGTGATAGATAAGAGGGAAAGCAACTAATTAACACCACCAACTCTTAGGTTACTCTAATCGAATAGCGGGATTAAATGTCACATTATAACGCCTCTACGGCAGAAAAGGCGAGCGTGTTAAGTGATAGGATTCGAACACACAACCTGCAGATTACAAGTCAAGTTAGATCAAACAAAATAACAAAGGAGAGTTCTTTCCAGTTCGCCCTGTGGTGGCTCAGTGATAATCTTGGGTACTTATAATGTTAAATTCTGGGTTCGATCCTTGTAGTGAGATTAGCACAGATAGCCAATCACGCAGCTTGTGCTCAGACAAACCAAGTAAGCAAACATTTCAGAATCATAGTCCATCTGTTGAGAACAGGAAAAGTTAATCCTGGGAGTTATTTAAGTATTTGAATATGTCTGTTTTAAAAGTAACATTATATAAATAACGAACTCGTTATCATAGTATAAAAGATTCAAAAACTACCTTATCTGAATTATTACCAATTTTGAGAAGTTTCCTCATACAATCTTCCCAGATAGAATTTTCTTATGTTTCAAGAAGAATTTGCTGTTTGATATTTGAAACATACTCATATTCAAGGATTAATCTAATGTAGATTTTGTAGACTTTTAAAATGTTG